GTGAAGGCTCACCTAACCGTGGCACACCGTATTCTACTCAGTGAAGGCTCACCATAACCGTGGCACACCGTATTCTACTCAGTGAAGGCTCACCGTAATCATGGCACACCGTATTCTACTCAGTGAAGGCTCACCTAACCGTGGCACACTGTATTCTACTCAGTGAAGGCTCACCATAACCGTGGCACACCGTGTTCTACTCATTGAAGGCTCACTGTAACCAAGCTCACTGTATCCTCAAAGCATGACTAGAAAGAGAGGGCAGGTGTCATCACGCCATTGTGCAGATGAGAACAGGGAGGGACGAGGGACCTGCCCAAGGCCCACAGCCAGCTAGGAGCAGCACGCAGGCATTCAGGCTGGGGGCCTCAGACACCATGTCCCTCGCTCACATGGCACCAAAGGACCAGCTGTGAGACAGGCCCCCACTGTGCCCAGACCCTGACCGTTCACAGCTCACCACATCCTCATCCAGTGTCTGTGCTCTATTTCACCCAGCTGCTTCTATTTTCCTACAGTTTCTAAAAAGATTCTTTCAACCACACAAATACATGATAAACAGACAGCAATAAATCCTTTTTCATTTGACCGAACAATCTGAAATAGCAATTCCAGAGATTCTGGAATTTGGTACAGAGCAGTAGGAAAATTACAGAAATTATAGAATGCTTTCATTCAACTTTTTACCACATTGGAAATTCATCTAATCCCAGGTCACAACTAAAATACTGAAATAATCAAAATGGAAAGGATGGTCTTTCATAATGTCATATAAAGTTTCTCTGCATCTAAGATCCTTAGAGCATCCAAGATCACACTGTTGGTCACATCAGATAAGCAGCGAAGGCAAGTCAGCAGGTGATAAACCAAAAAAGGGCAGAGATGAGACTCTGGCCCCAGAAAAACAAGGAAATGGAGGCAGATAAAGAACTCAGAGATGGGAAAGCTACTGACAAACTTGGGGCACACAGCATGACTCCAAAGAGTTATCATGTGAGATGGTAAAAAGAGATGAGCCATTTTAACTAAAAATAAACACCATACCTTTTGGGGAAAGGGCTGATGAGAAACAGAGAATTTATCTACCTTTGACAAAGTACAATATTATGCTGCTGTGGGCATCTAGCGTTACACCAGCTAACGTCCCAAACCCAAGTGAATTCTTGACAGCACTTAAAGGCATAACGCAGCCCTTTTTACTCCTTAAAAATCTAAGTGGGGAACTAATCTCCCTGAAGCTTCCTGAGTTGTAGTTTTGTTAAAATACTTACTTGCTTTTTTCAGATTTGCTTAATACCAATTACTGTTCAGGCTTTTAAAACCAACTTGTCACTGATTTTCTAGTGGACTCACTTTTCTGGTAAAAGTCTCACACTCTCAGTCACTCACACACATTCACACAATCGTATTATGAATTTTGATATGATTTAAATTAAAAACATCTTTCATTGCAGAGGTTCTAGTATGGACAGAGCATAATATCTACATGGATACATCAGAAATTATTGTATGTCATGAAAAAAATTATTTCACAAATAAAGCCCTGCCCAATTGCTGACTTTCTATATGAAACACAAGTGGGCTTTTCATTTGCTGTGGGCAAGGCCAGACCGCAGGCCACATTATTTGGTTTCCTGGAGGCCACTACCACTGACCCCCAAAGCAAAATAGAGGGCTGGGGACACATCCCCATTTTTGATGTGCTGATGGCAGATTCTCCACCAGCAATATGAATACATTTATGTTTTTAAATATCCTCTCCTTGAACATTTATAAAAAACTATCTACAATAGCGTATCATCACTAATAGAAATTTCTTCCCAGTTCTATTTCAGAAGGCGTCAACTGATCGTGCTCTTTAAATAAACTATAAATACTGCATGTACTCCTTCATGTCTGGCTGTTTCAACAACTTCTTCTTCCGCTTCTTTTTCTTTTTTTTTGGCAAATTAAAAAGGCGTATGGCTTCCTGTCGCCACTTTTTACATTTGAGGTTTAGCTTGGTATTCTGCGGTAAAAGTACATGTAGCCCAGGTCTTTAGGGGGCCTTTCTGAGGCACAAACTTTGTGGTCATTGTAAATCACCCATCTGAAAACAAGACAGAAGCATTTGATGGATTTAAGTCAGTTTCGGGAAACTTTGCAGAAAGAAGTTACTAAGTCATATGGCACACAATACTTAACCATGATGTTTTAAGACACTAAACTCAAGTTTGTTGTATAAAAAAGAACAGAATGCTGGTAGGGAATCACAACTGCTTCTTTTTTTTTAAGAGACAAAGCCTCATTCTCTCCCCAGGCTGGGTACAGCAGCATCATCTGCAGCTTCGAACTCCTGAGCTCAAGGGACCCTCTTGCTTCAGCCTCCTGAGTAGCTGGGCACACACCTTCGTGCCCTCACGCCCAGCTACAGCTGCTTTGTGATCCTTAACCTCGGTCGAAAAGTAGTTACTAAAATGTATCAGGAGCCTCCAAACATTTGAACCTTTGATTCCATAATTCCCTTTATAGAAATCTGTAGACTCAGAAATTGAGTCAAAGAATTATGTACAACAAAGCTTAAAAAAAAAATCCATGCAGTGAACTATTAAAATTTCTTCAAAGAATATTTGGCAAAGTGAGAAAATAATCACAATATAATGTGAAATGGGAAAGCACAGGTTAAAAAATTGTATGCACTCCGCATACACGTCACACTTTTAGTTATGCTATGCATATTTATATGTAGTATGTGCATAAATAGACAAACATGTACTTTCTTCCAGTGAGCCAAAACAACAGAGAAAAATATCTCAAAATGTAGACAATGGTTATTGTTAGGGTTCCAAGCACATATTCTTGTATATTCTTATATTTATAAATTATTTACAATGAATTTTATTGCTTTTAAAATTATAATTAAGCTTTTTTCTTTTAAAAAGCATTTTCACTTTTTTTCTTTTACTTCACTCCAAAGTGTTTTTAAAAGAGCTATCATGATTGCAATAAAAATAATTCACTATAAAGATAAGTCCCAGCCAGGCACAGTGGCTCACAGCTGCAATCCCAGCACTTTGGGAGGCTGAGGCAGGTGGATCACTTGAGGTCAGGAGTTCAGGACCAGCCTGACCAATATTGTGAAACGCTGAATCTACTAAAAATACAAAAAATTAGCCGGGTGTGATGGTACACGCCTGTAATCCCAGCTACTTGGGAGGCTGAGGCAGGAGAATCGCTTGAACCCGGCAGGCAGAGGTTGCAGTGGGCTGAGATCACTCCACTGCACCCCAGCCTGGGCAACAAGAGTGAAACTCCATCTCAAACAAACAAACAAAAAAGATAAATCCCTGTGCTCAAGTATTTTATTAATCAAGTTTAGAAGACAAAACTAAAAGACACACAGTGGAATCCAGGTGAGAACTGGCCCCTCCTGCAGTGGGAGGGAGGGACGGAGCAGAGGCCACGCTCAGGTGTTCCTTCAGCGTCCACGTGGCCTGAGTGCTGCCCTCAAGCAGAAGGGCCGACCCACAGCCACGGTTTGGACCTGTGGGAAGGGCACCAGTGGGGCCTGTGGGGATCCAGCCCGGGGAGAAGGTTCTGAAGAAAGCAGCCGCCTTTCACGCCACAACTGTCTCATTCCCAGTTCCCCACACACTTAACAGTTCTACCCAGGAACGTGGAAAAGCCAACGGCAAGGCTGTGGTAAGGGAAAGCACTGAAGGTTTAGAGCCGCCAGATAAAGCGCAGGTACCCAGTTACATCTGAGTATCAGGTAAGCAATAAATGATTTCAGTATAGGCATGTCCCATATAATAGTTGGGACATAGACTCTTTGAAATTATTTATACTAAGAAATTATTCACTATTTATCTGAAATTCGAGTTAAATAGGGCATCTGGGTTTTTCTTGAATGCTTCCCTTTGTTGGCTAAATATGGCAATCCTATGGAGGTTGCAATCACAGCGTACATTCTGCTGCAGGATGCATCTTTATTTTGGGAAGTCACCTCGGTATGATGATTGCAAGTGGCTTTTGACTTACTAGCTGAGGTCAAGCTATTCGGCCTCCCTGAGTCTAAGCGTCTTGATACGTAAAAAGCATTAACAGTATACCCTTTACAAGACCAGGTGAGATAGCATACAGTGTACCTAGGAGAGTGCTGGGCATACAGTAGGTACTCAATAAATCACGGCTGTCATTTACCTTCTAAAAATGACTCACCTTCCTTCCTTTTTGATATGGCAAATGTAATGACCACTCATTGTGGATGTTCCCATGTGACTGATGAATGCAAACAGCTCATATGCTGTGAAAGAGGAAACAACGCAGTTACAAGGCAGCACTTCCAGACCGGAGAGAATTCAAAACCAGCACTAGTATAATCCAGCAACTGTTTAGGTTTGAAAGATAAGGTCTCATTACATTGCTGCGTTGACAACGCACACACACCCAGAGTGACACTAAATTCAACCTGAAAATCTGTGATCACAAAAATAGGACATAAATGATCAAAGCACAGCTGATGTTAAATTCGAATGTGGAAAAGGATTCAAAAATCCCACAGCCTGGTCTGGTGGCGAGCTTGTGGGACTGAAAGAGGGGTCCTGGCTCTACCACCTCCAAACAGCATGAGGGTGGACAACGTGTTCCGTCTTTCTGAGCCTGTTTCTTTATGGGGATTAAAAAAGAAATCCACCCACTTTGCAGGGTTGTATGAAACTTAAATGAGCAATTCAGACTAAAATACTACACAAATGTCAAAACTACAAGGAAGAGAGCAGATAGCTGTTATCATTTATAGAAAAGGATAATGCTTGGTGCAAGATGTTTCACTTGTTCATGATTATAACTTATGTGGGACCAAACTTCAGGCTTCATGCTTTCTGAACAAGGAGATACGTGGCCTCTTAGAGGGTGAGACCGATGTTTATTCTCTAACAGGTGCCTCCTGCATCAGGGCCAGTACCCTGTGATATCCATGTTGAATCCGTTTTAGTTCATGTTGCCAAGGTGGGCTCCACAGACAAGAACCCGTGCACTCAGCAAACTGTTACAGACTACACTGAGGTAGGATGGAACCCGAAAGTGCACGTTTACAAGACTATGTCTAGTGAATTTAATAAGGAAAAATAGGCTTGCATATTGATTTTGCTAGTGTTCCACTTTTACTACATTTTTCAAAAAAAAAGTATTGGTTCCAGACAGACCTTTTTACCTGCGCCTCTGAGTCTCATTCTTTCTCACTTTTTACTCAGGCTCATTCGACTTACTCAGCCGTCAATCCCCAGTCCTCCTCTTACCCTTCAGCAGCACCACACACTGCTGATCACCTCTTCCTTCCTCAAATACGCACCAGGAGTGACTCTCCTGGTTGTCCAGCTGCTTCACTGCTTCTCTTCACCAGCCTGACCTTTGAACTTGGGTGATCTGGGGTTCAAACCTTTTTCCCTCCTCTATCCAGACTCTTTCTCTCTCTCTTTCTTTCTCTCTCTGGCTGACGTCATGTAGTCTTATGGCAGTAAATGATATTGTTTTCTTAATTTCATTTCTGGAATGTTCATTGTTTGTGTACAGAAATATAACTGAATTTTGTATATTGATCTTGTTTCCTGCAACCTTGCTGAACCGTTAGTTCTAATTGTTTTTTAGTTGATTCCTTTGGGCTTTCTATATGTAAGATCATATCTCTGCAAATAGAGACTGTTTTACTTCTTCCTTGATAATCCAGATAACTTTACTTCTTTTTCTTGCCTAATTGCAATGGCTAGAACCTCCTGTACAATGTTAGATGAAGGTGTCAGAGGGGGCATCCTTGTCTTCTTCCTGATCATACGAGGAAAGCATTCAGTCTTTCACATTAAGTATAACGTGAACTGTAGGGCTTCTGTAGATTCGCTTTATCAGATTGAGGAAGATCTCTTCTATTCCTAGTTTATTGATCATTCTCCCCCCTCAGCCTTATCTATCTCAGTCAATGACGATTCCATTCTTCTAGTAACTCAGGCAAAATCCTGACTTCTCTCTCATACTCCCTATCCACAGAAAATCCTGTCAATATTCCCTTCAAAATGTATCCATTTTGAATATCCAGAATTCAAATGTTTCTTACAATCTCCACTAGTAACCCCTGATCAAAGTCGCCATTGTATCTTGTCTGAATTATTACAACAGCCTCTTAATTAGCCTCCCTGCTTCCTCCCTTTCCCCACCAACCTTTCTTACCACAGCTGCCAGAGTTTTGTTCTTGCTCTGCTACATATGAAACCCTGACCCAGGAGCAGGTCATCTGCAAATGGTTTAACACCAGGTTCCCCACAAATATGCACTGCATGATGGGCAAGGGGGCGGCTTCCTTTCTGGCTGCACTCTGTTGGTCTTGTTTTGTCTTTTTGTTTTTTTGTTTTTTGAGACAGAGTCTCGCCCTATCACCCAGGCTGGAGTGCAGTGGCATGATCTTGGCTCACTGCAACCTCTGTCTCCTGAGCTCAAGCGATTCTCCTGCCTCAGCCTCCCAAGTAGCTGGAATTACAGGTGTGTGCCACCACACCCAGTTAATTTTTTGTATTTTTAGTAGAGATGGGATTTCACCATGTTGGCCAGGCTGGTCTCGAACTCCTGACCTCAAGTGATCTGCCCACCTCAGCCTCCCAAAGTGCTGGGATTACAGGCGTGAGCCACTGCGCCCAGCCCACTGGTCTTCTTTTAAATGAAAGTCAAATTGTGGTCATTACTCTACCCCAAAAACCTCCAGTGGCTCCCTGAATCTCTGAGAAAATCTTACTCTTGCAGTGGCCTCTGAAGTCCCCTTACCTCCTCCCCTTCTCCCCCTTACTCTGCTCCAGCTACCTTCGCCTCCTGGCTGCTCCTCAGACACTCTTGGCATGCCCCAACCTTCAAGCCTTTAGACCTTCAGGTGTTCAGACCTTCTGCTCTTTCCTTCTGAAACTCTCCTTTCAGATGTCACATGACTCACACCTCACTTCACTGAGATCTCAGGTCCAAGTGTCACTTCATCAAAGAGGCCTTCCTGAACCTTCTTCATAACATCAACCTCCTCCCACCCCTACCCTCACTCTTGCTGCTCACATTGCCATCATCCTGCTTTCCTTTCCACACAGCAGAAAGGAACACCTGCCATGTCGCATCCTTACCTGTGCACGGATTTATTGTCTGACACCTTTTACCCCAGGCTAGAATAGGCTCCATAAGGACAGGGGGTTTGTGTTGTTTACTGAACTATTCCAGGCACAGAAAACAGTGCTTTGCACACTGTAGGTACTTAGTAAGTATTTGCTAAACGCATAAATAAATGAGTGAATGAAGGAATGACTCCTTTCACTTCATCTCCTCACGCGTTTTTATATCATCTTACAGTGTATATATTTTTGTAAACCTCCTACCAAAGCATAAATTGGGGTATAAGCTGATGAAATAATTATTTAATCAGAAATGAATCAGAGAATATTGTGTTGCCCATAATTAACTAAATTTCTGTTGCTAGCTATCACATCAACTGACCCAAAAAAAAAAAAAAAAATCCTAGGTTTGAAATCAGAAGCCAGACAAAAACAGCTGTAAATGACAATCATTTTGCCCGGTATTTATTTTTCAAACAGTGTTCCAGGCACCTTACCCTTGTCTGCCCTCTCACACTAAGAACCCATCCTGACCTCCCTATAGGCAAGAAAGGGAGTGAGTTGAGATCCTTGTGTTTCTTCACCCCTGTTTGGTTTTTAAGCCCTTTTGGAATAATTCTATATCAAATTCCTAATCTTCAATTTAAGAAACAGAGTGCTGCTCTCCCAAAAACGCAGCTGAGTAAGTTGAATGAGCCTGAGTGAAAACTCTCTAAGAATTTTCATGAAATAAAGAGAGAATACAGGCCAGGCATGGTGGCAAACACCACCAAGTCATTTCAGCACTTTGGGTAGATTGATTGTGCTCAAGAGTTTGAGACCAGCCTGGGAAACATGGCAAACCCTGTGTCTACAAATACAAAAAAATTAGCCAGCCATGGTGGTGTGTGCCTGTAGTCCCATCTACTCAGGAGACAGAGGTGGGAGAATTGCTTAAGCCCAGGGCACCGAGGCTGCAATGAGGCCAGATCACACCACTGTACTCCAGCCTGGGCGACAGAGTGAGACCCTGACTCAAAAGAGAGAGAGAGAGAGAGAGAGAGAGAAGACAATACCTCAATCAAGGCTTTTTCTCCCCGCAAGGGCGTCTTGCAGAAGAACAGTGTTTACCGAGCACTTTCCACCATAAGACAGGGTGGCATCAATGAAACGCAGCACAGATACCAACACAGCCAATGGGTTGACAAAACAGACAGACACAGAGAAAGGACAAATCCATACATCCTAATATATCCAACATGTCCCTAAGCCCCCCAGAAAGCATTTTCCTCTCTGTTTAAAAACAATTCATGTACATCTTCAAAACCATAAAAATAAAATGTAAAAGGTCAGCATGAATCTTAGTCCTACTATTTAAATTAACCATGTTTATCAATATGAGCAACTGCTCCATGAATTATTCACCACCTCCTGCTGGGAAACAAGAAGAGAGAATCTCAGCACATTTGCAAAAACTAAACAGGTAATAAATCTCAACTTATGTTTGTCTCCAAAGAGAAGGTCAAGGTGAATTCACCAGAGAGAGAAGCTACTGCTGATTCTTCTCTAAGTTCCCACAGACATCCTTCCAAAAAAAACAAAAGCACTCAAACACACTCTAAAAACACACACACCAAAAAAAATACTGCTTTTCTGTTGAAAGTCAAACTTTTGAAATGTTTATCTCATCTCAAGCTTCCTTTTCTATTTACTTAAAAAGGAATTTCTAACATTTCAAAAATGTTGACTTTCAACAGAAAAACCTTCAAAGCATCTGGTAGAATTAGACAAAATTGACAGAACCACTATGTCTCAACAGCAAGCGGACAGTGTCCCTCAGAATGGGCAGAATTAAATTGTGCCTGGAACTAGCATTCTTCCTCCCCACAAAACTTGTCCTGTTTGAACTCTAGGAAAATCTTCCCAGCCTTGCTAACATGAAGATTTTTTAACAGCAAATGTTGCTGCTACCATCCCTACCCAACCTAATAGCAACTGTACTCTTTGATTTTGTTCTTTGAGAAAGCACTGTTTAAAAAAAAAGTTTATGAAACTTGGAAGGTAAAAGAGGTGGGCAGCATACCCTTTCTACGTCATATGGAAGAAAGGCCACCCAAAGATTATGTCGGGGAGAGATTGGCAAATGACCCATTAGCCAAATCTGACCCACAGCCTGCTTTTGCACTGCCAA